AAAAGCATTCAGTACGAAGGTTCATGTACAATAATTCTATATGGAAACAAATCTCTCAGTAAAGTTTAGCAGTGAGATCTTTAATGGTTGAGCTCTTGAAAGGGAAAGACAGCAATACGAGTCAAATTTTCTCCAATCACGTTGTAGATTAGAAGAACAAAATTACTGATTTTGAGCCATTGGCTTAAGCCATGATTCCTAAAAAGGTCGAGTGGTTAGGAATGTTCTGACGATATGCGAAGTAAAAAGGAAGATGAGAAAGCATTACCTCTGTTTGATTAGCCATAGGAATTTAGAGCACCGCTTTGATCACAATGTTTCTTACTCTCGTGCCATTTTTGAGCACTTTTACACCTTCTTTTGTTCGTGCCCGTGAGAGGGCAACATAGAGCTCCCAAGAGAAAAGACTTCAGTTCCGAGGTGAATTCCTACGTTCGATAGACTCTGGCCTTGAGCCTTGTTGATGGTCATAGCAAAAGCAAGTCGAAAGGGAAATTGCCGTCGCCGAACTCGAACAGGAACGCCTTTATCAGTAAAGTTGTCTATCCTTGGTATAGGGACAAACTGACCTCTTCGTTCTCCAGATGCAAACTGACAACCAAGCACGTAATGTCCAAGATGAGTCACTATCAAGCGGGTTCCGTTACATAACCCCTTCTTGACATCCAAATTGCAAAGCAGCATCACTATCGCACCCTTTTTCAATTGCAAATTGTGAGGAGATAGTCGTGCAGGTGATAGACTATTTGAAAACTCCGTGCTGTATTCGCTATACCCCTCGCTTGTTACCTCATTCACACTTTTGTACTCTTTCGCTTCACCTGGAAGTCTATTCAGTGCGTCCTCATTAATGCGATTGACATCGATGTTTCTCGGTGCCAGGATCGCACGGTCACTGAGAACGTCAATGTTGGTAATCTGATTTCCAAAAATTTCGTCAATGAGGTCGCCATTAGAGACGATATCCTGTGGCAGTTCTATGCAGCCTTCCGCATCTTCTTCTGCTTCCCCGTCCCCAACGTTGATTAGGAACTCGCACCATGGTAAATCGGATTCACTCGTCCTCATATTCAGTGATAGAGTATGCTTGCGAAAAGCACTCCAAAGCTTACTATTTTTCACGCACATGTCAACCATATCTAATTCAGTTCCACGTTCCGCTATAGGCAGGACTTGCCTAAAGTCGCCCCCAAGGACTAACGTTTTTCCTCCAAATGGCAGCGTGTTGCACATCAAATCTTTAAATAGGAGATCTACTGCTTCCAAAGAATCCTTCGACACCATGCTAATCTCATCCCAAATGATCATATCAGCTTTCTTCAAAGGCAGTGCCTCTTTGGACTCCCGCCGGAGCATACATTCTCGATTTCCGGATTGCATGTTGAGCTTAAACGTCGAGCTGGCAGTTCTTCCCTCCGGCAGTAGACTAGCGGCAATTCCAGTCCAAGCGCATACTATGGATTTGCGCTGACCTTTTAAAATGTAGTAGATGGTATTGTAAAGAAAAGTCTTTCCGCTGCCACCCGGCCCATCAATGAAGTGCAGTTTGCAGCTACCGACATCGAATGATGTAAGGATGGTGTAAGCGGCAAGACGCTGTTCATCATTGAGGAGGTCAAACATTTGTGATCCCTTCCTGGCATAATGATCGTAATCACTTTCGATAGCCTGCTCAAATGGGCGGGGCCGCGGAAGATGGATCCTTTGTGAAAGATCACATTGCATGGTCTCCAGCTTGTCAAACATTTCGTAGTAAGCCAATACTACAGCATCGTCTGGTGTGACACCTCGCACAAAGTCTTCGGACATGTCAGATTTGAAGCGTTCGAAAAGATTGTTGGATCGCTGACTTCACAAAATGCGAGCATGTAGCAGAACAACGCTCTCAACTCGGCCGGCATTCAAAGACATACCGCTTCTTCCAGGCAGCGTTAATAATGTTTGTCATCGTGGAGCAGTCCAAGAGCCCGCGCAGCTGTTGCGAACGTTGGATATAGGTGATTATCCACGGTACGCAGATTTTCAAAAGATTTCATATTCTTTCGATGTAGGAGAAGAATGCGCAAGCTAAACCTTTCCGTCTGCTTCGGAGTAGCCATATACATGCGTCCAATTTGACGATTACCTCTTCCACGTTTTTTCCATCTCCCAATTTGCTTATCAAATGCGAAATACTCCGGAAGCTGGTGGTAATAGAGGGTGCGCGGGTCGATCATTCCTGGCAGCAAGGAGTTTTCTAGTTCTAATTGCTCATACTTAGAATTGAGTTTGAACCATGCAGTGAGCGTTGTATCTTTACTGGCCCCCCTTTCCATAGCTTCTCTTTCTCCACCGGATGTAAAAGTAACGGTTTGAAAGTTAGGAAGATGGACCTGCAATCTGCACACTGTGTTAGGCTCGAATTGGCACTCATACATAAAAATATGGTGCAAAGCTTCCGGAGAACATACGTAACGGGCATCGAGATGCGCCCGGATTTCGTCGGAGTTGTCAGTTTGGTTGTTTTGCAGAAGACGCAAGGAAGCTCGATCAGGCCCTTTGTAGACATATTTATATAGATATTTCACTGCTTGAAAGTAACCGCATATCTCCAGATTTATATGTGCATTTAACAGCATCGAAAGGAAGCGGTTGTATGGTACAATATGCCTGTTGTCATGAGTTTCATTTCCCACTTGTACAGAGCTTCCGTCGTTTGGGCGCTTATACCTTGGATACCCGTCGGTGTTAATGGCTGTCTCTTCTCTGTATTCCCTGGGGAAGTTTTTAGAACACTTTCCATTGATCATACGGGGAGCCGTTGAACTTGTCGCTCCACAGCGTCTGTGCACTATGTTGCTAACGACGATGTCGAACAATCTTGGATGCGCAGCTGCACGGTAAATAAGCCTGTACTGCGGCGTCAATCTGGTCAGGATTCCGAGGCTTTGAATCGGCTGCCATGATTAGTAGCATGTGACAGTGAGGAAGACCGCGCTTTTGCCATTCCACTACTCCAACGTACGCCGCTACGCGACCCAGAATGTTGTTTTTGAAAAGGTTTTCTCGTAGAATCTCTAGTTTTCTGTGGAAAACGCGTGCAACAATATCAGGTCGATCAGATGGTGTTTGCCCTGCACAAAGATTTTCTGAGATTTCTCTCCATCGCGGGTTGCAGGTGAAGGTTAAGAAGTAGTCAGGCTTTCCATACCTAGCGACGATGGACATGGCATCCTGATATGATTGATGCATAGCACGAGGACCTCCTTGAAAGGTGGCCGGGAGAATGACACGTTGTCCCGCAGGTTCGTGTGCGTCGCTAGATGATCCATCAGCCCCTGATAGCTATCAATGCGGAGCTCTTTTTGATGTGATCTTGTGTAATTAAGCCTGTTTTGCTCAACTTTCACATAGGCGTCCACTGCAAACTGTTGCAAAAGTTTGCTGGCATGATGTAGTGGATTGAAGGACGTGCGCACGGAGAACAGGTACGAATAAAATTCCCCTTGAGTAATTCTCGTCCGAGTTCGTGCACTTGCATTTTTTGTAAGATCCACATGCCATCCTAACCCTCCTCTAGGAAATAAAAGAGGGTAATAAAGGGTCGCGACGACCATCTATATCCTGTATTGGTCGCAATCCTTCGTCTTTGTGGTGTACTGCCAAAGAGCGGGTTGCAGGTACATCGTTGTCTTCACCTACGAACACAACAGCTACTTCATTTGTGACAGGAATGTTGTAACGCCGACGGTCTAGAGAGCGGCTATTATCAAACACCATCCTAATTTTTGGTGCAGCTCTTCGTTCTAAACTCGCAGCCCTTTCTTCTGCTGCAACTACGTGGCCCATCATTCTGAAGCATGCGGCATACTCATTATGAGCATGAAACCAAATGGTCAATTCATGCATGATGAAGGGATCACATCCTCCATTGGCGGGGTTTCCAAGTCTTTCAGCAGTTGCACCATCCGTATCCAATATATACAATTGCCCATACTGCCGTCGAGTGCCATGTTCGGGTACCAAGGGTCCAACAAAATGGTAAACTTGTCCGTGAATACGGTAACAATAAGGTCCATAGCCACGAGGTGCATCCACTTGTACGCCCTTCGAAGCCATGGCTAGGGCACTATTATACGAACGGATGTGCTGACGAAAGTTCTTGCTCATTTCGTCGTTGCCAGTCAGTAAAGAGCGAATGATGTCAGGGAAGTCCGCGAAAACGTCCAAACTAACATTGCCGAATTTGCAACACAGATTAAATCTGCCATTCACTGGTGTAGCTTCGTCTTTGAAGAATAAAGCACCGCAGTTATTGCACGCCCATGAAAGGGGACCTAAGTAATTCTCTGTTGGTGCAAGCATTGTCGTGGCTATGCCTGGAGAAAAACTATATCGCAGTGGCTGCCTTGACTGCTGATTCTGAATGCGAGTTGTGATCATCGAATAGTATTGTTTGTAATCGAGTACCTGAGCTTGGTTGGAAATTCGCGCCAAGTTTGCTCGCCGCCTCCTAGTGTTAGCAGCATATTGCTGACGACGCGACATGCTCTGCTGGTCAGTTTCTAATGCTATCCGTCTTCTTGCTCTTTCCGTATCTGCCCTTAAACGTTCGCTCCTTTGCGTTTCTGTCTCGAAACGTCTGCGTGCAGCTTGAGCAGATGCGATTGAGTTCATCGCCCTCGTACCATGAACATCGCTAGTAACCTGAAATGAGCGTTTATATTAAGATTTTGATGCAGTAATGTTACTCTCATGTCTGCTTTTTGCTTGCTCGTTAGGAATAATCACTTACTGAAGCTGAGGATTTGCAGAGATTCCAAGAAAGAGACTAATGGTTGCATTGACTAACTCTTCTGCTAAAAGCCTTATCAATGCAATTGAACTTTGCTAAGATCGCGGAAGGGCTTGCATACAATTGTGCAAAAAGCTTTAAAAGCTTGAGCACTACTTTTCATGGACATACCTTCGGTAGATTAGATAATCCAGTAGAAGTCGATAAAATAGTTGTTGAAGACCTTTCAAATGATGGGAATGTCAGCTTGCATGGCATATTTTCTGTTATCTGCAAACAAGCACATAATTTGTTCTAGTCTACGAGTACCTAGAATGGACTTACATTGCTTTCATGAGCGGATTTACGTTAGTAATTTTACTGACATCACCCCTCTTGCTTTTCGCTCTCAATGTGCGGAAAGGGACTAATGTGGTCGTGAGATGTAAGGAGTTCGATGACCGGTGAGAGTCATCACTCGGAAACTGAATGAATTTTGTCAAAGAAGAATGCATAGAGTTAAATATGACGCACTTCGAGCACATATTTCTCTAAAGCCTTTTATGTCGTTTACAGCTGAGGCCATGCCGAATGTAGCACATGGATCTTGATTTTCTGCTTTTGGTTGTACCTAAACTGTGAATTTGTAGGTCTAAAAGAGATTGAACGAAAACTTTACAGGTCATTCTTAAGAGGTTGCAGGGTTTCTAACCATGATTAAGATCACCACATTTTCATGACTGACCGAACATGTTCCACATGGATGTAACTCAGACAATCGCTGGGGGCAGGCGGGCACCGGAAAAATAGATTGCTGATTTCTCGCACCCCGCTCGCGGATTTTTTGCAAAGCAACCAGGGCTTTTCGAAGACCGCTTGCTGAGCCAGCGGATTTATGAGAGACCGCCTGTTGAAATTTTTTTCGCTCTTATCTTTTGCAGATATATTGCTGAATCTCTGAGGAATCGAGGACTCAGCAAGCGGTCTTCCAAAAGTCCTGATTGCTTTCCAAAAAATCCGCGAGCGGGGTGCGAGAGATCAGCAATCTATTTTTCCGGTGCCCGCCTGCCCCCGGCGATTGTCTGAGAAGCTGCGTCCACAGACCTGTTCCCCTCTTATGAACTTCCGACAACCCGCGAAATTGGAGGCATGCACATCCATATCACTGAAGCTTTCTTCCATGACCTGCAAAGACAGGAAAAAAGTATGATGGTTTTTAAAAAAAATCTTCATCGCTGAAGTTCATACCTGTGTTGTCGTATTCTCAGAGAGCGTAGTGACGGAGTATGGTAGTGGAATCTTCAAATAGTTACTCTAAACGTATAATGAATAAGAGGATTTTTGCTTATTAGCAAAAATATTGTTTGTTTTCATAAATCGCATTTAAAAAGAGGGAGTTTACTTACCTCATTTCCAGCGGAATCTCTTTGGCAGAAGTGAGCAGATTCTGTTTCTTTCTGAATGAGAAGTCTGCATGTACTTTCTTGGTTGGACTGTTGGAATGGAGCTAGACTGAAGGGGCGAAGGAGTGGAAACTAAGCAACTTTCCTGAAAGGTTTACATGTTGTAATTGCAAAATCTCTGGGTGAACACTGACCACATATTCGCAGCCATCTCGGCCGCAAGTACAGGAAACTAAGCAACGTTGTTCTCCACAGTTTAAGGTTCGCGATCGTTTTTGAACGAGTCTATCCTCAAATTCCTGAGGAGACGCTGCAGTAGACTGTGTACCTATCATATCTATGCCCGTACACGGCTCCAGCATGCGGTTCTTCTCTGACACGGTCAATCGCCTTTTTCTTGCCCTTTCTGCATCTTTAGCCAAACGCTCAGATTTCTTCTCTTCGGTCTCTGCCAATCGTCTTTGTCTTGCTCTTTCTGCATCGAATTTTAGACGCAAAGTACGTTCGTCTTTTGTCTCATTGGACTTCCTTGATGCTGCTCGTCCTTTCTTGGCTGCAAGGCGTAAATGACGATCGATTTGTGTTTCATTAGATCTTCTGTGTGCTTCTCGTTCAGCTTTGGTTAACGAACGGCGCACTGGCTCAGTTGAATCGTCCGCAGTTGAAGTAGAGGCATCCTCAGCAATTTGTTCCGGTGAATATATCTGGAAACCATTGCCTCACTTCTCAGGCTCGAAAGTTTTTTAAATTGAAGTTATCTGATCCACAATCGTTTCAAGCGTATTCGTTGCTAAAGTCTTTACTCACCTTTTGAATGAGCTGTCTATAGTTACTTTTTAGAAGCAAATCTATTTTTTACATCCACATGATTCTCAAGACAGCCCAATCTTACGGTTGAAATCAAAGTTGCTCCGAGAGACAAAAAAGAGTACTCTATCTATAACCCCGTCGTCATTTTAGATATCTCAAACCTGCGTTGCAGTTAGACCCTCCATATTTCTAAATTTGTAGTTGCTGCCGTTGCGTAGGCAGTAGCAGGCAGTAGCGCTGAACACAGCTGTGTGAATGTGTAGATCGAAGACAGTTTGTATTTATAATTCTACCCTATTGTATTTTTGGATTTATGTGAAAGATGAGCAAATTTGGGCTTATGCAAAGCTCAGCTGTACTATTTTGATGCAACGTACAACGAAGTATTTACGGGAACACGGTGTTTTTGAGAACATTTTCGAAAGAGAACAGAATTGGATGCATGAGATTTTTGAAGTGGGGAGAATATTTTGGGAAGCATATTAAAATTTTGGAGCAAGTCAATTAAGGATTGTGATTACAAAGTAACTAACTTTCGGAAGCGAAAACGTAACAGCTTAATAACTCCATTTCCAAAACAGAGTTTTAGTTGCAACTTTTTAAAAAAGGATTCAAAGCTATATAATAAAGCTGATGCTTGTCATTAAACATGCATGTGTTAAAGAAATTATGAGAGATATTATTTGTGAAAATTCACAGACATGGACTTGTTTTTTTGCTTCGAACTTTTTTGTTTCAAGAAATTGCAGTTTGATATATCCTATTTAGCATGCAGATGGTAGAGATGAGTAAAATGCAAAACTTGCAATTTTTTGAAAAGGTCATGAAACTCAAGATAACAGAGATTCAACTCTCAAGAAATCATTAAAACAGTACATTGTGGAATTTGTTGAAATCATTTGAGACGTATCGATTGATTTTGAAATGGATAAAACTTGATAATTCTTTTGAACAAATGATTTTTTTTGAACAGGTGCTTGAGAAGCATTTTACACAAAAGCTGCAACTTTCTGAAGGAGGATTACACGTTGAATAAAGCAGATGAGTAAAGTGCAAAAATTGCAATTTCTTAAAAAGGTCATAAAATTCGAGATGACCGAGAATCAACTTTCAAGAATACACCATTATAACTGTTCATTATGAAATTGCTTGAGATCATTTGAAACGTATGGAATCGATTGATTTTGAAATGGATGAAAGTGGATAATTCTTTTGAACAGGTAGTTATTCTTCGAACAGGGTGCTTGAGAAGCATTTCACATATAAACTGCAACTTTCAGAAGGAAGATTACACGTTGAGTAAAGCATGTGTTTGTCATAATATGCGGAATAGAAGAATCATGACTTGAGGAAAATCATAAAACTGAGTGTACTTCGTAGCAAAAAATTGCAGCTTAATATTTTAGATACTTTTGCTCCAGAAGCAAAATTACGCAGGTTCTCGTTCACATGATTGAATTGTTTCTTCTTATAGAATAAATGACGAAGGAATTGATAACTGACCTGTTCCGATGGGGTGGCGGTCAAGATGAACGATAGCATGTGCCAGCCGCCAGCTGGGTACCGTACGCGGTGCGCTGGTCGCTCCGCCCCCCCCCCCCCCACCCCTGTTAATTAGCCTAGGAATGCGCTGCAGCTATTGGAAAATTCTCTAATATTCGTTCATGCTTCTTCAGTTGGTTGCAATTTGGAAACAGTAGATTTCAAAGTTTCAATTGAATTGACGAATTGCGACGAGAATTCAAAATAAGCATTCTAGGCAAATTTGGTTTCAAGCGAACAACTCGTTTTGAAAATATGCGTCATATTGCATAAATTTTTTTTAGGTTTTAGGAAAATCATACTGCACCTATATATTTCCGAAACTGCCTTAAATAATAAAATTCTTTTATTTTGCTACCAAAAACTGCTATCCTCAATATAAATCGATCTGTAACTCAATCGAAATTGCGTGTGAACTAGTCGTAAGATGTGAGGTCACTCAGACAATCATGCCTGAGGTGTTCTAGATTGATATCACACTTCATAGTTCGATATCCAGGAGTCACTCGGTCATGCATAGATAAATCAGCAAATCTCTCGAATTTCACGACCAAAACATCAGGTGTTCATTGATTGCCAAAAAAAGAAACTAAAAATTAAAACAAGATTCTGTAAACAGTCAAGCTTCACCCCAGCTTGCAACAAGCTTATATCTCACTATCAAAAGTTACTTTTACTTGACGTATAATCCGAGAAACTCGTCCGCCGTAGTAGGGCGGAGCTTCGAGCGAACACCTTATTGCCAGTTCATGACCCTGCGCGCCACTGTTACCAGCTATCGTTCATCTTGACATATACCCCTTCCGATGACTCGAGTAGCGCTGCTGCTGCAATGTGAAAAGATGTTACCGCTTACATGCAACTTTTTGGAGTTTGCACTTTGGGAGTTAGGTTTCTCATCAACATCGTCTAGATCAGACATCACTGGCATAGTGATGTCATCAACCATGTACGCCTGCAGCGGCACGCAACGACAGAACTGTTGACATCTCACGAGAGGGGGGGATGTTACAGAGAGACACCGTGCGCTTTATTATATAGAGAGATACTGTCTAAAGATCGATAAAAAGCTCAAATACCTAATCCATAGATTGGAGGTTGGTGTTCTATTACTATTTTGGTGTCAATGTCAACTATCCTTCCATCTACATATTTAGGATCATGGTACATACACCGGAGGAAATCTGTACAGGCATACATTTATGCGCGGTATGAAAGTAGTAGATGTTGAGCAATGGATAAGGATGTTTCAGCGGTTGGAGATTTTGTGCTCAGTTTACATTTGTTTTGTACGAAACAAGAACTTTTTTCTGATAAAACTGCCCTCAACTGAGAAGGCTTAGAAAACACAGATCATGTACATCGTAAATTTAAAGTCACAAAGCAGATCGTGATTGCAAGTTTCAAAATCTATTAATTGTTCAGGGTTTTATTAGGTTGTCCCAAAAGTTTTGTTGGTTTCTTCAAACCACTATAAAACCATGCAAAATAAAGTTCTGAAAATGTTTCAAATGCGTTCAATGCAGCTTTTCCATTTTTTTCTTATGGATTTTTCCACAATCCTATGTGCTTTGTCTGATAACTGTCACAATTCTTCGCCCGTTATTTTTATCTGGTCAAAGCTAGGCCTTTAGAAATTTCTTCCCAAAGTTTCGGAAATAGCTAAGTACGACTTAAGCAAGTTTTGAACTATATAGTAGTTTTTTAGACTCTTCCTACTGTTCTTAGCTTTAAAAAATTATTTCTTCAGAAGTCTCGATTTTTTATCAAAGTCATGATAAACGCAATTGCACATGAAAGCTTTTGGAGCTTCTGCGTATTTGAACTTGATTGCTAGTAAGCATTATTGATGCAACATATCCAAGTTAAATTTGCCTTGAAAAATAAGTTTTTTGAAGTTTTCGGCAATCTTACGTGGTGAACGTAATCAAAAAGCCGCGGTTTTCATCAAATAAATCATTATTAAGGACTTGGTGAACGAGGCCCAAATAATCTAAAATAGGCACAATGTAGCCAAAGGTTTGCCCTGCATAATAGTCACCAGAGAAAAGATAGGTAAAAGTTTTTAAAATTCAGTAAAGATTAACGGTACTGGTAAACTGCTCAAAAATCCATGGTAGTAACATCGCAAAGACAGGGTAGATTAAAGCGCAAATAGAGCTGTAAATAAGAGGGTAAAAATCTGAATCAAAAGGTACATGAATCGTCCCTGGATTGATGTATGAGTTTTAGTGAGTGATGAACAGAGAGAAAAGTTTGTTGCTAGAGTCATAGGCCCGTAGTAAAGCTCGGTCACGGGAGATGATCTCCCCTGAGGCTCTCATATGAGGTTTTGCTGGGTGAGATGAGGACTTTCCGCGTTTCCGTGGTGTAACTATGCAAGGTCACCCTACAGGTGAACTTCAGATGAAGCCCGGTAGGGAGATCACCTCCCTGCCGAGTCATCGGAGATGAGCCAGGCGACGACATTGGGTGAATACTGTGCTAAAGAGGAGAGCGCAGAGAAAACCTTCGTAAGTTGCTCCTGAGTAACTTACGAAACATCGCAGATGACGTTCTTTTGCGGTCCGAAACTCCCAAAACTGCACAGTTTCCGGCGCCTAAGTGAGTGAGGATCGATGAACAGCTGATTGCGCGATGAAATTGGTAAAAAAAAGGTTTTTTGCTTTTTTTCTTGCAGTTGTTGCTTGTTTTTCCTGAGAAAACCGCTTTAGATAACAATAAGGTGAATTTACTTTTCTACTCATTCTTCGCCAAGTGTGATTTTTCCGATATTATTCCAAAATACTGTAGTTGTTTTATCCCGTTTGTTCGCTAAGTGAAGTCTCTGATAGCAACTATCATCGATTTTTTCCACCGTTCCATCGTTGAAAACGCGATCGTCCAGTAAGTGATCTGCTCGAAATCAATCGCTCCCCTGGCAGTGTGCTGAGGCGCGATGAGATCAACTCCGGTCCGCCTCAAGAGAGATGCGCTGATGGGGGTTTACTACGGGCCATGATTGCTTTTGTTAAATAATTAATTATGCATAAATGCTTGCAGTAAAGAAAAGGAATACGTCGACCCATCCAGCACGCTGTTCCAGGTCCAGAAAAAGTCACAAGTATAGGTTTTGAAAAGGAACTCCTAAATTTTTGGATTTGAAACAATGCCAAAAGAAAATCCACTTTTGTAAACTTGCTTTGATAAATTTAACATGGACGCAACTTCTTTATTTTGGTTCCATTAGTAATGGTTATGGCACAGAAAACTTCTTTTATGCAATCCTCTGACTTTAAAATAAATTTTTTAATAAATCTTGGCCTAGTTCTACCTGAGCGACGACAGCTTAATAGTAAAAAAAAGTTTCAGCTCTGCGAATAATTCAAAATAACAATTGGTAAATAACAAACCACTATTATGTCGAGTCTTCGGCATACGAGCAGGAAAGATTTCCTCCAATACTCGTGATCTAAAAGTTGGACGTTTGAAGGTCGAAACATGATTAGTCGCCTTTCTCACTTTCCACTTGTCGAGGGCTGACTCCATTGAAATTAAAAAATGGAAAAAAAATGCATGTTCGTAAATATCAACTGCAGTGCTCTCCAATTTCATGTTTAACACTATTCTAGCAATGTGCTCAAATATCGCGTATTATTGATGA